GAGTAAATGCGGTCCGTCGGAGTAGCTTTCCCAATCAATGGATAGAACGGCTTCAGGACTGTACTGAGCCGATAGCTCAATGATGGTTTGTGTGGTTGGTATACTGGTACTGGTAATGGTAGGCAGACAAGTCTGGCAAGTGACCGTATTAGTCCTTACTACTTACCAAACCTTCTGTTCTTCTCGATGAAATCTGAATGGGACAACCATTCAATGGAGGGAACGTAGTTACACAATCTGCTACATAGTGAAGGAGGTATACGGTAGCTATCAGTATAAATGACAGGTTTTATCGGCCACCACTTTACATATCTTAAATTTTCAACTCAGCAAATGGCCAGTAATCACACCGATGATCAATTGGAATTCATTTATATTTGTCTTACAGTTAAAATACAGGTATTTCGAAGTAGAGTTCTTTTTTATTCAACTGTATAAGGTCAACACATTCCCTCTATTCCTTGCTTGCACTTCTACAATTACTACCAAGAACCTCTTTATACTGATGTATTGGGGTACATATTGAAGTATTTTGATGACGTATTGATGGTTCAGGAACTCACTTGGGAGCTTTGAACCATCCCTAACTCGCTCATATATTCTATTAAGTGATTTTATTTCATTAGCCATTCTCTTTTAAAAGTTTTAATCTTTTGAGACAAGATAATGATTCCAACGACTTTTTACACTTCCTCACCAGCATAGAGATCACATTAGAGGACTCATGAAGTTATAGAGCTCAAGGACTGTCTATCTGAATAAATATTGTAGTAACACTAGTTCTACCACAGATACGAGCTTCCAAGCATGTGGCTACAACTATATGGCAAATAGCTGTGATAAAATTTACCTAGTCGATGATATGATTCCTCTCTCTATTCAACGTTCAAAGTTTGCAACCAACACGAGTTAAGCATTTCTTAACCATTAAATAGAACATTTTTGTACATTTATTTTCCGTCGAATAGCAAAATAAATTTGATCTATGCATAGTTTTTATTTTCTCAATTAGTACATCTGCCATTTCGAGTAAATATAGTCCATGGTACAGACTGCTTTTTATCAAATTAATAACATGAAACTTCGCAAATAGCTTCATCTCATCGTAACCTGCAAATATTGTATTTACGAAAATTCTCGTAATTGGGGCGTTTTCAATCTAGAGGTCGGCAAAATTTGTCTTAGGTACTAAAAACTCTTTTTTATTAATTAATTAAATAAACAAAGTTTGCCGAAATCCATATTGTAAACGCTCCAATTCCGAGCATTTTCATAAATAAAATATGTTTAGGTTAAAATGAGATGAAGCAATTCACGAAGTTTCAGGCGGATGTTAATAATTTCATAAAAAGAGGTCTTTACCACAGACTAATACGACGTGCCCGAATCAAATTTCGTATTGACATGTTACGGGAAATCTCTGGCTATAACGATAAACTATATCAATGTTATTGTGCTAAGAAAGTGACTAGAAAAAACCTATGAATTCTATGAAAATATTCACAAAAAATTTTAGGTACAAAGATTTGTTTAATCGAAAATGACTCGGCGTATTTTCAACACATTACTGCCGACTGAACGCGGATATGGTAATATAAGTATGTAATATAAGATATGCGGATATAAGTATGTGAGATATTTATACGTGAGAAATAAAGATGCACGCAATTATTACGGACAGAGACTTCATGATTGTTTCAACAGTTCCTATTTGACTGAATCCTACTGGAAAATAAAAAGAAACTAAAATTTGTCCAACCAATACCCAAAACCTCTATTTAAAATACAGGAAGTGATAACTGAAGTTCGCTTCTTCATCTCAATCCATCTCCAACCATACACCTAACAAAAGGAAAATGAACAAATTCTGAATAATTTAATCAGGAACAACAAAGCAGATCATTCATTCCTAAACCAGGATTGTCACTATACTTCATACACCGTGGATTACACTTCTTGTGTTATTCCTTGTCCTTGTTTTTATTTTGTTTATAATTTATTCTATTTTCAATTGGCTTATTATTTTTTGTTGTCTTTTCTTAGAACCTTTTACGGTTAGTATTAGCATATGTATGACATATCTGGATTCCATCAAAAACCCGTGAAAAAAGTCTCCTTATTTCGAAAAGAAGGTTCAGTGCAAAATTTTCTGAACTGTTAAAGATAGAGAATCATAAATTCGATCACTTTTTAATCAATCTGAACTAGATAGTCAGATAACTGAGCAGATTACGTTGGACATGTGAGAAGGTAGTTATATTGGCAAATACTGAGATCTCAGCAGCAAATATGGAGAGAATTACTCTGTTCGGTGAGACCTGGGATGCCCAGAGTTCTGCTACGTGGTTGACTTGGCAACCAATGTGATAAACCTTTTCATGTTGTCATTTGTAAGCGGATGCCCAAAACAGAGATTGGCGGAAGCTCAAAGAAGAAACAGAGATCCAACGCTGGTCGCAGAGCTAATAAATAATAATCATATTAAGTTCCATTAACGTTTATTACCTTTTATAAATTTTTATTCATAGATAACTTCTTCGGAAGTTATACAAATTTACAACATAAAAGACTCTCGAAAAGGGTTCCTAGGAACGAGTAAAGAATCAAGGTGACGATCAGGTGGCTGTCGACAATATAAAATAAAATGTATCGACAGCATAACACTGCAAAAGCCTGTAAGGACAATTTCTTTCAAAAATGAGGTTTTGAGTTTTTCTAATCATACCTGTTCTGACGCATATTCTAATCTCACAAAATGAAATCTACGATGTTTCAAATATTTTTTATGGTCTTTTGAAAAACCTGTTACTTAAACCCAGCATATCGTGGTGTAAAAAAACTGTAAGTTACAGTGAAGGTTATAGAGATTGTGTCGTTACTAAGAAAACGTAATGAAATGCCCAATGAAAGATGTTCACATAAATATAGAATGTACAAAACGTTTTACGCATAGTCTACTGTATCAATTAGGTTTATTAATAGGATAAAATATTTTTTTCTCATTCGCTTTGTATTCTTTTTTTAAATTTCTAATAAGCGGCTGGCACTTCCTGCCCGGTGCCTCTGGACAAATTCCCGTGTTTCGCTGCTCTGAGGCCGGCACCGCTTTCCTTGGAACTAGACGAAGCCAAGAAGATAGTGGTGATTGGGAATATAATATTGAATGACCTTCAAAACAATAGAAACCTCCAGGCGACAGTAAAATGAGCTCTACTGGAAAGAAGCTACAATGCCAACGAATTCCAGACAGTAAGAGACATAGAACTGAATTCATTAATTGAAAAATTTAACACGAGACGAAAAAAGAACTCTAGTTTCATCTTTTCAAACCAATGAATCTTTGAAATCGCAAGAACATCATAAACGAAGTGTTCTACACATCAGCAGGTTACCTAGAACTTATCAAGTACTCCTCGCTTTCCAGTAAAAATGTTTACAAACTTCCACTTTAAGTATCATTTCTGTACATTTTGGAAACTGACTTTGTTGTTGTCATGATTTGATCATTATTATCAAAATTGTCGGTCTCATTACAATAAATTTGATTGCTTTTGCCTAACTAATACTTGTTTTAACTAACTAAATAGCTCTAAGTTAGAAGTAATGGCTCTAAAAGGTATATGATCAACAAAGTTACATTATACTTTTGTCTTAGGCATGCAAAAAAATTTAAGCCGAAAATATGGTGCTCATAGAAAAACAATTACGCAGTTTTTTTCATCTCCTTAAAATTTTTAGTTGTTGTTCTTACATGGTTTTGCAGTGGGGCTGTCGATAGGACAAAATATCATAAAAAATGACAAAATATATGCAAATATAATAGTAGTAAAAAATTAAGTAAATAGCAAAATGCGTAATAATATAAAATTACAAACGGAATAAGTAATATTGTAAAAGTACAAATATTATAAAGAAATTATATAGAATACTCTAATAAAAAATTATAAAGAATACTCTACGATCGTAAATACTGTTCATTACAGTTTAATTAATATTATTAAAAAAATCCTATATTTGTAATCAGAGATTTAGTTTTTTAAATAATAGATATTTTACGATTTTCCATTGTTTATTGATTTATTTTTTATTATCGTTCTTCTTCGATATGAAGAACCGTTATTATGATCTAAGAGGGGTACTTTTTGAAAATATTATCGTTATTGTTATTATGCAATCACCTATAATTTTATTTTAATTTATTTTATTTCTATGATCGATATGAGTAATCATTTTTATGTTTTTGAAAGTAATATAGATTTTAAGTTCTCTCACAGATACGGGTTATTGTAATTTTATGGACATTTTCAGTATTGAGGTTTATTATTAAGTTGTCCGGAGTACTTATTTTTTATATATTTTCATTACATTAGTTACATTTAATTTTTTTTTTTTTTTTTTTTTTTTTTTTTATATAGTTTCATTAGAACTGACCAGACGATACAAACAAAACAACTGTCTCATCTTTTGTACTACAGATCTCCACTCGACGTACTAAACAAGCGACTAATCTACACCACCATACTAAGATCTATTTGGACATACGAGGAAGAACTTTGGGTTCTGCAAAAAACACACGCATAAACAAAATTCAAACCCCACAATCCAAAATACTTCGTAGAATCGTCAATGCTCCTTGGTTTATTTCAATTCACATCATACACAAAGACATCAACATACCAAAAGTAAAATCCTACATACACAACAGGTACACTACATTTCTTCCCCTACTCTCAATCATCCAAATCCATTCGTTCTATCTCTATCTTCCTCCCTGTTACCTGGTGGGCCTCAACGACGACTAAAAAGGCAGTGGCCTAGAGATCTTCTGCTGACAAGTTGAGCAAGTATCAAGAATACAAGAAGGTAGAATAAACGCCAACACATTTGCTTGATGCGTTACAACGCAGTGGCAAATTTAATGGAAAACAAATATAGTTTCATTAATGTTATAATAAGATCTTTGAAATTCTTTTCTGACGAAAAATATTTGGAAAATGTACCTGAAATACTTGGAAGATGTGGCTGGTGCTTCAGCCATTCCCGAATACTCCTGATATCCTCCTTCTTGTTATTGTCCACCACATTGGTGAGGTTCTTGAAAGGGTATCTCATCTCCTGGAAGAATAAAATAAATATAAATATCATTTCAAATATTGAAGAAGAAAAAATGTGTACATTTAACAAAAATAAACGTTTATCATACAAGTTTGAAAAAATGTAAATCATTATTATTAGTAATAATTATTTTAATGCTAGATTAGACTGATTATTATTAAAACTGATAAATAGTTTATAAGTGTTTCTATAAAGCACTAATTATAGTGATTGATGTTCAATCATTACTAATAATTTAAATTCATTCAAATGTAATCAGTAAAAAACAAACATAATATAATTATATTCAAAACGAGAGAGAGAGAGAGAGAGAATTATAAAAATTTTAGTACGTGTGTGTATTCACACATAATACAATACATAAAAAATACATAATGTAACTTTTATAATTGTCTCTCAATTTTCTTTCTTTTTTTGTTAGTAAAGTTTATTGGCTCTAACCTTCCTAACATACTGCAACTAGATCAGAAAGGATATGTTATTTTAAAGTTAGCTAGAGTGTTCTAACTGTCAAAAAATCTCGCGATTGGGCGTCTACGACGTATGCTGAGTCAATGATAAAAAATAAAATATAGATAGTATTGTTAAATTAGAACATATGCAGTTTAATTCGGATGCCCAGTAACATTCCTTTGATTTGATATTTTTATCGTCTTGTTGAACATACATCACCAACACATAATCACTCGACAGTTTGCCAATTAGAGGTTTTAAGCTTAGCCAAAGTCCAAAATCCTTAGCCGGACGATAAAATATCAAACATAAATAATAAACCATCTTAGTATTTCTACTCCCTCTATATAAGTATATATACTTAAGAGTACAAACGGACCTTGATGTGACCTCACCTAGAGAGTTGGCCCATGGAAGATCTGCTTTCGATAAGGACTACCGGTTCTGGAAGCACTGACTAAGATGAAACACGGAATGACCAAAAACCTTAAATAATTAACCTCCGCCGTTATCTATGAATCTTTTCCAAACCACAGCAATAATTGTTTCAAGGATCTTAAATTAGTGTGGTTTGTGCATATATCTCATATTTTAGAAAAACAACTTAGGAATAATAGCATTGTTTTAAGAAATGTGATTCACAGAGTTTGTCATAAATTCTTAAGCTATTTTTGAAGTGATAACTTCTTTAAGCGCGTTTTGCTCTTTTTTTGTGGGTAGTTAATGAAACAGCCATCATGCTATGATATGTAAGACGCTCATTGTAGGACGAATGACGCTCATTCGGGCAGAGTCTGCTGAAGTCGATTAATTGATTTGTTTTTATGTTACGATTAAAATATTTTAGAAACTAAAAATATTATCTCATTCAGTCAAGAGGTTTTCATTGCCTTATGTCCCAGCTTGCTTTTTTGCTTATTTGATTACCTGTTGCACTGGTTAGAGTTTCGATAAATTACTGATTCCTCTACAGAAGTTATATTAAAAAAAATACGGAGTCAAAATTTACCCTAGGAATTTATACACAATTTAAATTATAATTTGATGAATTTCTAATTATAGATATTTTAAATGATATTACTTTATGAATGTAGAACAAAAAAAATTGTATCATACAATTAATCTCGCCTCGTTTATATTGTACTTCTGTCGTGTCGTCTGAAGCACACACCTTAGTTTTCTTTTTATAAAATAAAAAGGGCAGAAGCTGATGAATATATACTTATTATATATGTGTTAGTATTTTATTTTCATTGCATTATAAATCGTTATAAACATTTATAAATATATATATAGGTGTAAAATTATTTAAAGAAGGATTTTCAACTTTTTTTGACACAGACATATTCAAGATTACAAAAACATTGAGGTCTCAATCTGGAATGTGCATCGCCTCCCCCCACGATCGATGGTGAATGCCCCTTTCAAGAAATTTTATTGCTCCATTTTCTTAAAAATATTGCAAGGAAAAGTAGAATGAGAAAAAATTTACATCTTACACTTACTGTTTTCCTCGTAACTCCTGGTTAAAATTTCCCCTAATTTAAATCCTCAAGAAATATGGTTTTCACCGATTGATCCACAACCCATAAAAAATCCTCCCTTCCCTCGAAAATTCAAAACCTCGTCAAAATATGCCCTCTCAAAAATTTACTTGGAGGATCTCGCGCCATGGTCACATAAAAGTAAATAAATAAGAAATATTTGGTGCTTTAATATAACAAATATCTCCTAACATATATTTATTGTAACAAATTATTTATTAATTATTAAATCAGTGATTGAATCATTAATTAAATAACTGCAATTTATTTAATATAATACGCTCCGATGGTACCAGGTTGAAATCCTGCTATATGTTATCGACCAATATCTTTTGAACATTATTTATACGTAAGATAATTTACGATTTATGAAACTGGTGAAACATGCTTTAAGAAATTTAAACAAATTCCATAATATATTGCATCATACCGGTCTCAGCCGTCAAAAACAACGTCAGTCTCCATATTTTTCGTCCCGCGAGCAGCATTGAGACCTCTACTACCGAGACCAAGTCGAGCGGGCCATGGCTTGTAATGAAAAAAAACTTGTTCTATAAATGTCACTTCAGTTGTGAAATGAGCTTTCTAAGATAAAAAAAAAAAACATGCCATAAATGTTGTAGTAACCTCTCGTTTGAGTAATTTGATATATAGAAAAATTAAAATAGAAAAAATTAAACAGAAAAATTAAAAACATGCATATCGTCGATACAAATTCTCACTATCGAATCTGAATATCACCACACTAATATAAGTATCAATTCAGCCCAAACAATGAGGTTGTTTTAATTTCCACACTAATATCTCCTGTTATTTATATTTGAAGATTTTGTATTCCTTCTAAAAAATATTTAATTATAATTACAATCACTATAGTGCAGGATTGAAAATTTTTCATATTTTATACCTCTCCATTCTTCACTCGTAAAATCCAGTCGAGCAGTTAGTTGTATTGGAAAGATAATTATATGATAAAGAATATAACCTTATGTATTATTCTGAATACACATATATATCCCTTTTCCGGTTCTTAAGAGGAATAGATTTTGTCGAATGAGGTATCAAACAACAGAAATATAATATAACGTATATGATATTGATATACTCATGTATGATCATATGAGTATTTCAAAGCTTACTGAATATCCTACAAAGAGTAAAAGTATCGTCGAAATCAGAAGATTTGGTGCAGAGTTCTGAACGTTTAGCATTTCCTGTACCGAGAAGATTCTGTTGCACATGGAATTCGGTGGTAGCGGATGAAGCTTTGTTAATTTTTAAACCGAATCTGATCTCTTACGATTTGTTTTTGTTTTTGCATAATTTTCTCTTTCTGCGTTTATTTTGTTAATCGTATGCAATATATATTGCAATCAATATTTTGAAGCTTTTTAAATATATTATAATCCAGTGCTGTAGAAAGCTACTATTTAAAAGCTACTAAGTTTAAGGAAATGCAAAGATTAAACTATGGCAGAGTGTATCAAATTTATTAATTGATAGCTCACTAAATATATACATTGGACCTTTGCGCATCAAACATTATTGAATGGAATTTGTGCTGAGCCTTGAATGTATTAAAATCTGATACAAATATTACATTTCATATTCTTTTACTGTTATATGAAATGAGGAAAACAATTCTTTAAAATTCACGGAAATAGACATGTTGCTTTCTTCCTTTACCAAGAATCAGACATTTTCTTAAATTTATGAAAACTCAACTGCAAAATTGCAGTTACTTGTGTTCTAATTTAAGGGCTTTGATATAATATTTTTAACATGTCTTATTTTGCTATTTATTATCTAATTTAAGCATGTTTGGTTCTTTTCCAGCGATGTCTAATACATTTTTAAATTGACTTCTCATTAGTAGTTTTATTTTTCCTCTCTGATAATTTTTAAATATTTCGATAGAGATAAAAACACATTTTCCACCGATTAGAACTATTTCTAGAAATCTCACTTTCTACTCATTTAGTGCCTTCTACCCCAATCACTTCTAATCAGTGGAGTATTTTTACTGACTAACTAATTACACTAAAGGTCATTTTTTCTGATGAGATGGAATCTCACGGCTCATCAACGACCAAAGTAACAGGTTTCCGAGAAGTTTTGACGAATCTTCATTAGCTGTTTGGGGAACGCCTGTAAAAACATTACTGGTGACAAAATATCACTATCTCAACTATATATTATTGAGGATGTAGCAGCAAATATGGTGGGACCATTTACCACCATAGGCCCTTTTTCAGTAATCGTTTTCATCTCTTATCAATTCGAGAGGGTTATGTACACATAACCTTCGCTTAGATCAGTCAGTCAATTAGAACGGTTTTTGTAATCTGATAACATGATTGGAAAGACATGTATGTCGGCCTCACATGCATTTCTTATCATAAATACTGTGTATTTTCCTTTTATGTTTATACACTACAGAATCGACCGTAGGTATCAAAAACCGAAATAAGGCAATGGAAAAATTGATAACAGGGATAAACGGAACAGTACGTAAACAAAAGAAAAAAAATATGATGCGCACAACACACAACTTTCACTTACTGCTCTACTTCGAAAAGCAATTTTTTTGTGGCAAAATTGAGTTATTACAAGAAGTTTTTAATGAAGATAAACCTTGAACAATATATTTTTGAGCTTTGGTCATATTCATCGATACAACAACTCATTAAGACCATCGAAACAATGTAAAACCTATTTATTATACCCATTGTAGGTAGCGTTGACCAAGGCCACCTAACTGCTGCAAGACCAAGACCAGAACTATTAAAAAAAAAATCGACTTTTTAAATAAAACTTATGGTAAAATAGTTACTAATACTTGACAATCTTAGTTACTATATGTTAATAATTGGTATAACCAATATACTTTTGCATTTAACTCCTCTAATTTTTCATTTGGGCTTAGTTAGGTTTCTCCTATCTAAAAAATTACTATCTAAAATAAGCTAATAAGTAACTACAAGACTGTTGCGAAACTCTTGC